AGGCGAGTGCACTACTGCTTGAGCCACATCCCCAGCCCCAGGGTCCGTCCTATTACCAGGCAATTTCCTTTCTCATTTCTGGTCATAGGTAAGGACAGAAACACAACCAACAGATCACATTTAGTATCAACTCTGTTTCTGCCACCTCTCTGAATCTGAAAATCTATCAGTTCCGAGTCAGTAAACTCAGAACTGATAGATTACCCTCCACACCAAAGGGGACTAACAGTTGTAGCTCTCCAAACTAGAAGCAAAGTATGCCTTTTAAACATATGTAGGAGTCTCTAGGGGATGATACAGACAGAGGATGTCTTTAAGTAATCAATGTTTAAAGAAAGAGTACTCTTGAATCAACTTGTCTACCTTTCAAGGGGGCTAAGAAAGTTGGTGTTGGCAGGGGGGAGGTAGAGAGAAAAGTTGGGGCTTTTAAATTCTAATCAACCATTCCAATTCATCATAGGGGGCTGGGGTTCTAGCTCAGTGGCAGAGCGCTTGCCTTGCATTTGAGAGGTGCTGAGAATCAAACCCAGCCGGACGCATTCCATCCTCAGCACCACATAAAAATAAACAAATAAAATAAAGGCATGCTGTCCATCTACATCTACAAAAAACAAACAAACAAACAAAAAAACTCATCATACTGACTCTGAGGGGAATGTAAGGGAGCTATGAAATTCAAAGAGGAGTTAGCATGGGCAGAACACACAAAAACCTCTTTCCAAAACACAAGTACTACCTGAGTTATACTTTGCTTGTTCAAATTAATCTTTCTCTTTTCCAAGTTTGATCCTAGTGACTTCATAGACATCATACTCTTATGTGTGGGAAAACACTACAGTGAGCAGCTTTCGTGTCAAATTAGTGTTAAAAATCTCAGCAATTCTATTTATTAAAGACACCAAGATAGAAAATCATACAGGAGACAACGCAGAGGAATAAAAGCTCTTAAGTCCAGTTTTCTGGGTTTGTTTTCCGATTCTACTTAATGGCTATGAAACTTTGAGCAAATTGCTAAATATATGTGTACATTTGTTTCCTCATCTGTATAATGGGATAACAGCTTTATAAGCAACTACTGCATAAGGTTGTAAAGATTAAATGAGATAATATTTGTATCATTATTAAATTTCTTTGGAACTCATTTAAATAAGTATTTGATATAGACTACATGCTCAATAAATATTGAGCTACTAATCAGTATCAATAAGACATGAAGAATTTCTTTACATCTCTGAGCCTTACTTTCCTCCACTAGAAAAATGAAAGAAAAAAATACTATCCTCATAGAATAGGCTATGGGGATTAAATGAAAGATCTATTTAGCATAAAGATGTAGTAGCTAGTTGTTATTAAATAATGGCCCTGCTTTTTTTGCGTCCAGAAAAGATTTAAGTTAATATATTAAAGAATAGCTCAATGTTAGTTATCAATAATATTCTACACACAACACACACAAATTTTTTTAAAAAAAATTTTGTACTAGGGATTGAACCCAGTACAAAATTAACCACTTAACCACTGAGTCATACCCCTAGCCCTTTTTTATATTTTATTTAGAGATAGGGTCTTGCTGAATTGCTTAGGGCCTCGCTAAATAGCTGAGGTTGGCTCTGAAAAAGGTACAAAGAGAAAGAAAAAAACAAAAAGGTTAAAGAAGATTATGACAGAGGTAAGAATTCAAAGTCCCAAAGTAGACTAATTTAGAGGAATATCAGAAATTACTATGATCCTATTGAATATTCTGTAGTGTCCTAGGTCAAGGAGTTCTGAGAATCCAGATATACATGTACATTTTGTCATTAAGTTTTCATTGGTTTATGATGAAATGATCAAAATAAAGAGGATACAGCAAAATTTTCATTAAGCTAAATTTATTAAGTTTGTATATTCTTATGAGAAACCAAGAATCTCATATCAGTTTTCTCTGGAAAAAATAAAACAAAATACAGATTAGATCCTATTTCTGTGTAAAAAAAGAAGGGGCTGGGGTAGAGTGCTTGCCTAGCATGCATGAGGCACTGGGTTTGATCCCCCAGCACCACATAAAAATTAATTAATTAATTAATTAATTAAAGGTATTTTGTCCATCTACAACTAAAAAAATTTAAAAAGAAAAAGGTATGGAAGGACACACACTTGCCTATTAACAGTAGTTACTTCTGAAAAGAGTAGGATTAAGCAAGGCATGATGGCACACACCTGTAATCCCAGCAGTTTGGGAGGCCTGAAACAGGAGGATTACAAATTCAAGGCCAGCCTCAGCAATTTAGTGAGATCCTGTCTCAAAATGAAAAATTGAAAAAAAAAAAAGAGCTGGGGATGTAGTTTAATGGTAAATTGCCCTTGGTTAACTCCCCAGTCTCCCACCCCACCCCCAGCAAAATAGTTAAGTTTAAGGTGAGAAATATATTATGGATTCTAAATTTTTTTCCACTCTAAACAATCCCTTTTTAAAAAAATAGGGACACACAACACACACACACATAATTTAAAAAAATTTTTTTGTACTAGGGATTGAACCCAGGAGCACTTAACCACTGAGTCACACCCCTAGCCTTTTTTTATGTTTTATTTAGAAACAGGGTTCTTGCTGAGTTGCTTGGGGCCTCACTAAATAGCTGAGGTTGGCTCTGAACTCCTGATCTCCCTTTCTCAGTCTCCTGAGCTGCTGGAATAACAAGAGTGCACCATAGTGCCCAACTAGGGAACATATTTTTAAAAATAGTTGTCTAAAGAAAAAAACTTTTTTGGTACCAGGGATTGAACCCAAAGATTCTTTACTAGTGAGCTATGTCCCCAGTCCTTTTTCTTTTAGAAAAAAAAAAATGTGTCTCTGTTTGTGTGTGTATACATACACACACACACACACACACACACACACACATATATATATATATATATATATATAAAATGGACACTTTTTTATTTTTAGGTGGTGCTGAGGATTGAATCCAGTGCCTCACACATGCCAGGCAAGAGCTCTCTACCACTGAGCCACAACTCTATCCCCTTTCTTTCTTTGAGACAGGTTTCACTGAGTTGCTAATTTGTTAAATTGCTAAGGCTAACCTTGAATTTTCGATCCTCCTGCCTCAGTCTCTAGAGCTGCTGAGATTACAGACATACACCACTGTACTGAACTACCATGTTATTATGTTATTAAAAACAAAACAAAAATACAGGTCAAGAAATATCAAGCCCAGCATGGTGGTGAACACCTATAATCCCACTAAACACAGTTCTTTAGCTGTTCTTCATCTTCAAACCTTTAGGGCAGTGTTTCTCAAACTGTGGGCTGTAAGACAAAAGTGACCTTGACATCAGTTGATGGGTTACCATCAGTTTTTTTTTTTTTTTTTTTAAATTTTTGCAGTACTGGGGACTGAACCCAGAGCATTCTATCTCTAGCTCTTTTTCTAAGACTGGTTTTCACTAAATTGCCAGGCTGGCCTCAAAATTGTGATCCTCCTGCCTCAGCCTCCCATGTAGTTGGGATTACAGGCATACACCACTGTACCATGTTATTTAAAATAAGAATAAAAATAAAAAAGGACATAGGTCAAGAAATATCAAGGTCAGCATAGTGGCACACATCTGTAATTCCAGCAACATGGGGAGGCTAAAGCAGGAGGATCTCAAGTTCAAGGTTAGCCTCAGCAATTTAGCAAGGCCCTACACAACTCAGTGAGACCCTGTCTCTAAATAAAATACAAAAAAGGGCTGGGAATGTGGCTTAGTGGTTAAGCGCCCCTGGGTTCAATCCCCAGTGGGGGGTGGGGATGCTAACAATAAGCATAAGAATCATTTTGTGAAAATGTTTCACTTATATGTATGTGTAGTTTACACAGAGTCAGGATGTAAACTCCTTTTTTCACTTTTAATACCAAGGATTGAATCCAGAGGTGCTTAACCACTGAGATATATCCTCATCCCTTTTTATTTTTTATTTTGAGACAGGGTCTCACTAGGTTACTTACAGCCTGGCTAAATTACTGAGGCTAGCTTTTAACCTGCAATCCTCCTGTCTCAGCCTTCCAAGCCACTGGGATTACAGGCAAGCAACATAATGATGACAAGTTTTGTGTTTTTAACTGTGAATCATGATCAACAAGTTTTAAAAACTTTGGGAAGGACTGACAATGAAAGATGGGTTAATAGGAATGGAAAGAAGTAGACTCTGAACGGCTTATGGTTATGGTTACTATAAAGCACTTCTAGATAACATTTGGATAAAGGTTGAATATATAGCTCTCCAGGGATCAGAAGATTCCCGAACCCTGCTACTTAAGTTATAGAGCAATCACGAAAATGAGAAGAGCCAACCTAGACAGAAGCAAACCCATGTATTGGTAAGGGCTTTGGAATCAGGCAAACTTGAGTTCTTCTCTCTGCTTTGCCACTTAACTTACTGTGAGTTTAGGCTACTCCCTTTGCCTTTTGGAATCTCAGCTTCCTTATTTATATAAGGATATTTGGGAAAGAAGGGGATTTGTGAAAATATGAAATAGCAGAATTTGAATTCCCTTCCAAAGTTCTGGGTACATTTAAGAAATTCACTTTTCTTCTTCCTGTACTGGGGATTGAACCCAGGGGCATTTTGCCACTGAGTTATATTCTTGGTCCTTTTTATTTTTTGAGACAAGGTCTTGCAAAGTTGCAAAGTTTGTAACCTCAAACTTAATGATCTTCCTGCCTCAGCCTCCTTAGTTGCTGCAATTATGGGTAAGCAAGCAGAAACTTGCTTTCTTTTTTTTTTTTTTTTTGTGTGTGTGTGTGTGTGGTGCTGGGGATTAAACTTGGTTTCTTTAAAGCATCTATGTAGATGAATTATATCTAAAAAAACATACATTTATGTGATACTTCATATACACTGTCTCAGAAAAGAAGATGGGCCCTCGTAAGTTGAAACTTTAAAAACAGAAAACAACTGACACAATAGAAAAAAAAAGATAAAGATGATAAGTTAACAAGTTTTTTTTTTTGTTTTTTTTTTTTTTCAGGTGACATACTCTCAAGAAACATAGGAAAAGTTACTAGTTTTTCAGCTTATTCCCTCACATTTTTATCTATTTCAAAGCATGTTATCTAAGGGGCAAAACATTAAGCCTCAATGTTACTATTCTACAATAATAACATGGAAGTTAAAACGGATTAAATTCTCATGGCCAGACCCATTACTCTAAGCCTGGGAAAACAGTAGGGGGTTGGAGCAGTGTGAAGATAGGAAAGTTACAGGTACACTTGGGTTGCAAAGTCTTTGTCACCAACCCCCAAACACTCAGAAGTCAAGCCAGAGCCCAGAATCAGTCAGCAAACTTTCTTGCTACTAAACAACCTTGGATCATCAGAGGTTAGTAAATAACTGGGTTAGAAAAGACTACCTCCCACCCCAATATGTAACCTCAAAAATCTGTCCTGCCTTACTTGTTCATACTAATTGATGGGATACCCATCTGTAAACCTTGAGCTTGAATCTCATCATGTTTATAAGGATATCATTTTTTAATGTAAATAGCTAGACTCTTGAAACATCAGGAATATAGAAATGAAATAATACATAAAAGATTCAATTGATTTCTTCCTTATTCTGGTGGTGACTTAAATTTTTTTTTTTTTTTTTTGGCTGAGTTAACAATGGGCAAATGATCCATTCAAAGGCAAAAAAGAAAACCAAAGCAAACTAGTCCAAGCAGTGTGATGTTTATTATCTTCAAACCTGAGGCCAAAAAAAAGGGAGGTTACACTTTCCTCCTTCCACCCTTTCATCTCAGAAGACAAGAAATCAGATTTAACTTTCCTTAGATGTGCAGCTCCACAAAAATGGCTTATTAAAAACCCAATAACTAGGAAAACTTGAGGCCTGACCATAGGTCAGTCCACTGAGGTGGGGTAGAGGTGGAGGATGTTCTTTAGTGTGGGCAGTTCTCCAAGCAATGCTGGAAAAGAGGCATAACAGGAAAGGTTTTTTAGCCTGCCCAGCAAGAGCCAGACTTTTCTTGAGGCCCCCCTTCCACCTGTTAGCTTTAAATCCTTATGGCAAATCTACAGACAACCTCAAGAATTTCATCACCTATTAGTAGTCAGAGTTCCCAGTCTATAGTCATCAGAGTCTAGTCCAGTCCCAAAAGTCAGACCTATAAGGTCAATTAGCCAGGTAAGAGTCAATCTTAAAAAAAAAAAAATCAATCTAGATGGGTGTGGTGGCCCACAACCAATAATCCCAGCAAGTGAGGAGGCTGAGACAGGAAGATCAAGAAGTCAAAGCTAGCCTCAGCAATTTAGCAAGGCCCTAGGCAACTCATCAAGACCCTGTCTCTAAATAAAAATACAAAAAAAGGGCTGGGGATGTGGCTCAGTGGCTAAGCGCGCTGCGCACTCACCCATACACACGCGCGCACACACACACACATGCTCTCACATCAATCTGCAGGTCAGGTGATCTAGTCCAGTCTCTGTATTTTACAGGTAAGGAAAATGAGGCACATAAAATTAGTCAATTTGCCAAGTGTTAAATACAGCCAGCTATCAATAGCTACTAAGTGTTTCTCCCTTTTTTATATCCCACCCTCATGCTGAAGATTGATGGGATTAAACTCAGGGTCTCCCATGTGCTAAGTAAGTGCTCTGCCACTGAACTACATTTCCAGCTCTTATAATTTTTTAGTTTGAGACAGGATCTAAGTTGCCAAGGCTGGTCTCAAACATATAATCCCCTTGTCCTAGCCTTCAAGTAGTTGGGATTACACTTACAAAATAAGTGGTGCATCCTACATCACTTATTTTTTCTGGTGGTCCTGGGGATGGAACCCAGGAGTGTTCTATCACTGAACTATATCCCCAGCCTCCAATTTATGATCCTTCTGCCTCAGCTTTCCTCATAGCTGGGATTATAGGCATGCACCAACATATTTCTTTTTGGTACCAGACTGAACCCAGGGGAGTTTAGCCACTGAGTTTTTTTTTTTAGTTGCAGATGGACACGATACCTTTATGTGGTGCTAAAGATCAAACCCAGTGTCTTACATGTGTTAGGCAAGCACTCTACCACTGAGATACAACCCCAACCCTTCGTTTTTTTATTTTGGGAGAGGTTCTCACTAGATTGCTTAGAGCCTTGCTAAATTGCTGAAGCTGGCTTCAAATTTGTGATCCTCTTGCCTCTGCCTCCAAAAGCAGCTGGGATTACAGGAGCTGCTGGGATTATAGGTACCCGCCACCACACTCAGCTCAACAATATATTTCTTAAGGAAGCAGAAAATGCTAAACTCTTAAGTAGACACCAGGACAGGGACATGGACTTAGAATGGATATTTCCTGCCTCTTCAGTATAGGTAAAAATACTGCCTGTTGGATTAAAAACAAGTTAGGAATATCCAGGCCCTCCCTAGAAATCAGGATTTAGTCCCATATTCTTCTTCTTCTTCTTAAAAAAATAAAAATAAAAATATATATATATATATATACACACACACACACATATATATATATATATATATATTTAGTTGTAGATAGATAACCTTTTTTCCCCCCATTTATCAATTTTTTTCTGTGGTGCTGAGGATTGAACCCAGTGCCTCACATGTTCTAGGCAATCGCTCTACCCTTGAGCCACAAACCCAGCCCATGTCCCATATTCTTCTGACAGAATGATTAATTAACAGTTCCTCTCTCTAAATGGTCTTAACCATTCTCTGCCAGGACAGTTGGAATTGAAGCAATTTTCAATTGGGAGAAAATAGGGAAGGAACTGGTAACTTTTACATCATTTGGTGGGCCTTAAGACTAATGTGAGAGATTTACTAAGCACGGACTATAGAGCAGAAGCCAGTAAATGCCTTTGTCTCCTTTCCAATTTTGTTTAGATACAAATCGCCCAAACCTTGAATTTATGCTACTTAAAATCTTGAGCTATGCTACTTAACTCACCTTTCACTGTGTTGATCCAATGCTATCCAATGACTCATGCCTTAAATGAAAGTCATTCTACTTCCCCCACCCTCTCCCTTATAGTTCTCCAAGAGGCAAAACACATACTTATCTCTTATCAGATGGTAGTACAAACTCTGTTATTGACCTAGGAAAGGCTGGAATGCCCTTCCCTTCTTTTTCTGCCTAGCAAAATCCTAATATATCTTATAAGGCCAAAACAAATGTCACTTCTCTGTGAAACTGCATAATTATCTTCTTACCTCAGCAGAATTCATCATTGCTTTCTCTAGTATCTCACACAAGGTCTCACAGTGTTAAGACTATTTCTACCATAGCCTTTATCACATTATAGTTAATTATGTATCTGGTAAACTATAAACTGCTCACAAAGTAGGAGTATTTTTTGATATCATGACTCTTCAGAGTAGAGTACAATGCCTGGTCCCTCATAGGTGCTGATTAAATGCTCCCTAAATTGCTTGTAAAGGACCAAAGAAATCCTGCTTCACTTCCCTATTGTGCCATCTAAATAGATCTCACTCGGTTTTGTTTGGGATTTTTTTCCCCCAGGACTAGGGATTAAACCTGGGCACATTCTACCCAAGATACATCCCCAGCCCCTCTCCACCTTTTAAAAAAAAAACTTTATTTTGCAACAGGGTCTTGCCAAGCCTGGCTTCAAATTTGCAGTACTTCTGCCTCAGACTCCAGATTCACTGAGATTATAGGTGTATACCACTGTGCCTGGCTAGGGAATGTTTTTAATAGGCCTCAGAAAGGTCTCTCCCTGGACTCTTTGTGATTTCCCTTGAATGGGGGGCCCCCTTGGGACCCAGCCCACAAAGGTACTGTTGTAACTCACATGGGTTAACTGCTTTTCCTGTTACCATGTCTCAGATGGCCTAATCACAACCAGTATGTGGCCCTCTCACCCTAACACTGAAGTGGCTGTGCCTAAAAATAAAATTCCCTGTTTTAAAGATTGATGTTAAGTAGTTAAAAAGCTTTGAGTCATTACCTCTATTAATTCCTGGACTTGAAAAGTAAGTTTTATAAAGAAATTCATACCACCACAGAGCCAGGAGACACTTTGAAAAGGTACCCACTACCCCTAAACTGAAGCTACAACCTGGCTCAGAAATCTGCTTAGCTGGGTGGCTCCTTATTCAGCTTAGTTACTGTTCACAGTCAATGACAAAATCTTTCCTAAAACACTCTTGAGAAGTAGGAATATAATGTGTAGGGTTTTATGGTACCCTTTCTCCCAAAGGACTGGTGCATTTCCTTATTTTAAGTTCACTGTTTCATATTTTGGTTACTTTCCAATCAAAAATGCTTTAGGATTAGGGAGTGGGCTGTATGCTTGCTTCTACTCCATGCCTTCTTCTCAGAAGTCAAATTCATATTAATGCACACAAACAAACTATAGAAGAGTAATCCTTGTTCTCAGGAAAAGTAAGCATTAAAAGATTGAGATATGATCAAGGGCAAGAGAAAAACCCTCTTCTCCAAACATATTTTTGTTTGAAAGTCCACATTGATAATTCCACTCATTAACTTTCTTAAGATGAACAAGCCAATGGGAGAATATTTTTAGGGATTATGTGCTATTTACATTTTAAATTTGAGCAATTCCATACCTTTTCTTTCTTTTTGGGTGCTGAGATTTAACCCAAGGCTTCTCAAATGCTAAGCAAGCACTCTACCATGGAGCAATCCCCCTACCCCAGAACCTTTCTTAAAAGTAATCTCTGATTAAGAAGATGGTGGGTGGAGGGGGAACATACAGAACAGGATACCACCAAAGTTTAATAAGTGACAAGGACTACAGAGGATTAATACACACATACCCCTAGTTTTCTCTAGGACTGGCTTTTCAGGTGAGAAAAGTTCTGTGATGGTGGTAGGGGAATAACTGAGGTTTCCACTGGGTAGTGTAAAAAGGTAGAACATATTAGAAGCCTTCTAAAGCTAGTAAGGTCAAATTCAATTAATAAGGTGGTAGCATGAAATGCCCCAGCTGTACTGAATCTAAGATTTAAAAGGAAACCAATTTCAAATCCAGAGAAACTTGGGAACTTCTCAGGTCACTATAGAAAGTCAAATTCCAAAGCCTCTTAGGCAATCATCACCATCTTCTGAGATAAGGGACAGTTAAATACTGCCCACATATAGAGAATACCAAAGGACAGAAGTCTCAAATGCTTCACTTTGTAGCAGAGATGACAATAATAACCCCAGGAGAAAAAAAATGATTAACCTTCAGATTTCTTTCCTTCCCTAAAAAGAGGAAAAATATTTTGTCCATCTATTTGGGCATGGATACCCAATGCACAAATGGGCTGTGTATTTATATGGAAGAAGGAAAAATGATAACCCAATGATGCAAACAAGCAGTACAACCCTCTGCTTATCTGAATTGGATAGAAGATAAAATGAACTGTGAAAGGAGCACAATAAATAAAAGTATCATCCAAGAAGGGAAAACTAGAAAGAATGAGAACAGAATTTAGTGAGAACATGAAAACAGAATTGCTTAGGTGGTAAATCCCCAAAACAAATATAAGTCTGATCTGCTGTCTCTGATCTCTGACCT